GTGTGTGTGTGTGTGTGTGTGTGTGTGAGTGTGAGTGTGTGTGTGTTTCTAACACTACACTGATGTCTTGTACGTGAGTTTATTTCCAAACACATTAAATGACTATAGAACTGAACAGATCTTATTTATCCAATGCAAAATACACAGTTTAAGAGCTATATATGATGCGCATAATATATATTTATTTTATTTTATTTTATTAGAGATCACAGAGAGTAGATTTATGTCATATGAAGACGTAAGATGGTGTGTTTCACAGTAAAGACTAAATCAGCTTTATAACCGTGAGTGTTTCTTCTGTTACCTGCGTCCCTCACACTTCTTTAAGAATACGTTTATAAATATATACAGTATATATAAATATATATAGATCTATATGATATCACACATACAGTAACTGGTGAATGTATAACTGTTGTTGGTGCAAAACTGTACAAATCCATATGATCTATACGCCCTTTGCCTTATTTGACACTGCCAGTGTTTCAGGAAGAGCTGCAGTCGCAGACTGACAGTGAATAAACATTTTGTCTTTGGCCTTTTTGTCTTTTTCATGTGTCTTGGATATAAATGTGTTTTTGTGAACAGTGAACATCAGGTGATGTTTGGATCGTCATATGAATCATGCTTGCAAACCACGTCCAAACAAATCCACATCTTTTCATAAATAAATGCACAATAAATTGCATTTTTTCAGTATCACATATCATATAATTGTATTATAAAAAATTATATATTTTGATATAAATAGGTACATTGATGACTTCTAAATTAAGTACTAAAAATATTCGTTATAATTTTGTAATATATATATATATTCATATAGGTCAGTTCTTTTAAAATTAACTTTTTTATTTTCATGTTTAATTTTAAGATTAAGCACTAGACAAAAATTGCTTAATAATTCTATAACAATTTATATATTTTAATATAAATAGGTAAATTCTCTTTGAAGTTGAAATTAGTTTTTTAAATTAAGTACTAGAAAAATTAATGTAAAATTTTTAATAATTTATATTTTATATATAAATAGGTACAATTTCAGTGTTTTGAAGTCTTTAAGATTAAATTCCAGAAAAAACATACCGAATAATTTTGTATAATTTATATATAAATAGGTCAATTCTTTTAAAATTAAATATTAGAGAAGAAATACTTTATTTTTATGTTGTTTGATGTTTAATTTTAGGATTAAGTACTAGACAAAGATTATTTAATAATTAATAATAATTTCATAACTTACATATTTTAATATAAATAGGTAAAGTGTCTGCTTTTGTTGTCTCCTTTTAAGATTAGGCAGAGAGAAAAAAAAGTATTTTTTTTTATATAAATAAGAATGTTCGACCATCCATATTATTAATGGTCAAATATCACAAGTGATTTCAACAAACCCCAAACACTAAATATGAACTCATCCTATCACATCAACTTTATATGCTTTCATCCTGATGGATAAAATCAAGCCTCGTGAAGTATTGTGCGTCACCCGGACGTGATGTCTTCTCATGTTGTTGAAGGAAGGGTCAATCATGTGTGTGTGCATCCCTGTACAGCCACTAAATCATGCTGGAGGAGATTTCACCGACGCTGCCAGAGGAAACAAACACTTGGATTGATTTGACAACAGCTGAATCTGTAAGTAAATCACATCAGATCCCGAGGACACCAACACACACACACACACAGACACACACACACACACATCAGCTACAGGGACCGACAGAAACTAATTACATGACCATTAGACACCATTAAAAAATTGATCATGTTGAATAACTAGCCTTGAATTCAGCGAATGCGGGTCATATTTGAGCTGAAAATAAATTTTAATCTGATTTAATCTAATTTAATCATAATAATCTCATTCTCATTACTGTAATGTGAAAAAAAAGAATAATATTTTAATTAAACTAAGTATTTATATATCATGGTTGTATTAGATGTAATACACACAGACACACACACACGCCTCGAGTCTTCACAGCAAACGAATAGTAACTCGATTATTTACTCTCAGTCTGTAAAGCGTTTAGGAGATATTTTATGATGCCAGGGCGGCATTCACAACCGTCTGAGCTTTGATGAAGGACCTGCTGACTAGTCTAGCTAAAATGAGCATCATATCTAAAAATAATAATTTGTACTATTTCTTTAAAATCTGAATAAATAGTTTGCACTCATTTCAGCAGTCACAGATCAAATTCAGTCCACCTTTATTCAGAAAGCACACCACTCTTCACTAGAAGACAGTCTGATGCACAAGAGAGAATTAAAGGAGTCGAGCTCTGTGTGCAGAATCTGTGACAGATTTGCAATCGTCTCCCAGTCTGTCAATTTTGTAATGCACTTAAATTGACACAGCAGCAGAAAAGAAAAAATACAGTGGAGCCACAAGCATATATTCATACTTCAGTCTCTGTTATGATGATGTCAAGCCCCTAAACCCACAAATGTTTGCATGTTTAGGCTAATGTTCTCAGAACGTTCTGTCAAGGTTCTCTCAATGTTACGAACAAACGTTCTTAAAAGAATTTTCATTCATAGTTATCTGGTCTTTACAGTTTTTTACGATTGCTTAAGCACAATTTTGAAAACAAGGCCCGGTTTGTCAAAACACTACACACAATTAACACAACCCTACACCAAAGTAGCACAACACTTCAGATCATTTGCAAAATGGAACACTTTTGTCAAAACTATACCCAACTTTATAAAAACAATATTTTGTTACCATACAATTGAAAATGGCATGGTCACCGATAATGTTTGCTTTTAGTTCTCTGAGCCTGATAGCATTATTGGCCAAAACCATGTTTAT